GGACAGAGAGCCCACTCCCCACTGCAGGGGTCTCCTTTTGCTTTTCAAAGTTTAAAAAAAAAAAACTTTATTGTTTTGATCATAAATAAGATCTCTCTTCTATAATGTTCCCTGAGGCACACATCTTCCTAAAAATATATCTCCTTTATAGTGAAGCCGTTTGAGAAATTCTTCTCTTTCAAGAAAATTTCAACCTCCTTAGGATATTTTTTGTCCCTCTAGAAAGTAATTCAGAATTATATACTAAACTTTCTATTTACCTTATATTTAAATAACAGTTAAATCAAATTAAAAATGACTAGATTTTGTATGTAGTGCCGTACAATGATTACTACTGCAAAATAAGGATCTTGGCCAGTCGCAGTGGCTCACGCCTGTAATCCTAGCACTTTGGGAGGCTGAGGTGGGTGGATCACTTGAGGTCAGGAGTTCAAGACCAGCCTGGCCAACACAGTGAAACCCCATTTCTACTAAAAATACAAAAGTTAGCCAGGCATGGCTGTGGGCACCTGTAATCCCAGCTCCTCAGGAGGCTGAAGCAGGAGAAGCTCTTGAACCCAAGAGGCGGAGGTTGCAGTTAGCCAAGATCACACCATTACACTCCAACCTGGGCAACAGAGTGAGACTCTGTCTCATAAAAATAAAAGATCTTAAGAAATCACAAGATCCTTGTGGACTATCAGAAACTAACTAAAATCATGCTAATTTTGCTCAATGTATGCATTGTCAATACATAATATTTAAACAACCAAAATATTGGCTTATCAGGATATACTAATTTTAATATTCTACATAAGAGAATGTTTTCTATGATTTTATTTAAATACAATTAACACTATTTTTTGTCATGAGTATTACACTGACAATTCATGAAATATTACTTCATGACAACAAGTGAGTGTCTTGTCAAGGACCAAAATTGGTAGAAACATTAGCAAAGAGCATAGGGTGCACAATCTGCTCAACAGACTTTGTTGGCCAATGCTAAGTGAGGTGCACATTTGATCCTACAGCAAAGGTAGATTTCACAGGCATCATTCAAGTACTTGAGAACACCTGTTTAGCATAAGGCAATGTGGGATTGTATTTCATTTACCAAAGTTAATTCAATGTCATCCATCAGCCATTTATTGAATATCCGCTATGTGTTCTGAAGTCATTTCCTTTTCATTTTATTGAATCATCCATTCTTTTTATGTTGACTTGTTCATGCCAATTTTTCTCAGAGGGATGTCTCTGTTTCTTCATCAGGCAATTGTGTCTGTATAGACTCAGCCAGAGCTCAGCTCTCAGTAGCCACTCTCCTATTCAGGAGCTCATGTCTAAAACCAAAGGAAAGACTCAAGTAGCTAGAATCAATTTGATAAGAACCCCTGCATACTTTGTCTGAGGTTTATAATCTTTCTGAATCACCACTAAAGTATGTCCCTGGAAAAATAAGGAAAAGACACCAATCAGGCAAAATTGTTCCAATTATCCATTTTACATTAGCTTTGGAGGTTTGGTCATGGTGGTTATGATGGCCTTCTTCTTCTGTATCATGGAATATAATTTCTGTCCCAGCCAAACAGCCTACTTTCTTTTTTTTAATTTTTATTTTGGACACCTGTTTCATTTCCCAGCCAGTGTCAGTACTCCACAATGGGCTCACTTCTCCAGCATCCTCCCTCCAAGCACATGACTCCACTTCAGGTGGTATTTAAAAATCTCTGCCTCTTCCGACGTTTAGCATTTCCCCAGCACTACCTCTGATTACTTTCCCTGCCAATGTATCTATTTGTTCTCTAAAGGAATGCAAGTAGTGACACAATTCTAGTTATTTTCAGATTACCTTTAATGATGTCTTTTTATTTTGGTACATAACAAAAAATAAAAGTGAACTACATGAATCATTTAACCCTACTTGAAATAAGGACCCAATGTGAATTAACTCCTAAATCCTTTTAACAACTAATTATATGTTGTATTTATTGCTGTTTTTGATAGTATAAACTTCCTAGTATGCCACTCCCCCAAAGGAGACATTTTTAATAGTAGTAGAGATACATTTGACTTGGTCAAAAGTTATCTGGAAATGAACCATTCAACAATATGTCATGTAATAATAGATATTTCAGGTACCGAGATCTTGTCTCTTGAAGACATTAGCATCCTATGGAATTCATCCATCTCCCATTCATAATGAGTTTCCTCTTAAAGAAGTGATTGGCCTTGGAATTATGGTTTTGAGAACAAACAACAGCCCTTTATTCAACAAACCTAATCAAAAACAGTAAATTGAGGTATTGCATCACTAATAGTTTAGATTTCATCAGACTTATGCCACTTGCTATAAAAGTTTTTTCTTTTAATTATCATTATTATTTAACATTGTCTGTGTGTTTAGCCAATGTGCTAAAGCAAGGCAAGATAAGTATTACTCTTAGAAAATAATTATTATTTTAAAATAATATAATTTCCCTATCTAGAAAACTCAGAAAAAAAAACAGGAAAAACTTTTGGAACCCATAAAATATATTCAGTATTATGGAGTTAAATATGACATTAATTTAACAAATTAATAGCTTTGTTTTATATTAGCAATAATCAGATAGTATAATGAAATTAAACCCATTATAATAGTATCAGTTATTATAAAATGTACAGAAATTTACTTTATGAGAAATGTGCAAGCTTGATAGAAAGAAAAAATTTAAACATTATAGAAAGTCATCAAAGAAGAATTGAAAAGGTAGGAAATTATATCATGTTCCAACACAGGTAATCTCAATAATATAGATCTGCCACCTCATCTAAAACGCATTCTGTAAATGTAATACAATTGCAATCAAAGTTCCAAAGGATTTGTTCCATTGGCAAATTAATCTTGAAGTTCATCAGAAAGATTTAATCTCAGATTCAATGGTAATTATAAGTGAATTAGTCTGAAAGCATGATGACAAGATTATTAGATTTTAACTATTCCATGCAGCCATTTATGTGATAATTATGTAAGGAAAAACTTAAATATTTTAATGAAACAGATGGGGGTCTAAGGAGAACAGATGTTGAAATCTTACGCTATCTTTATCTCTTCTCAACTTTCCTCTTCTGTTCCTTTCAGTGATCAATGAATCATCTTGGGTGACATCTTCTAGTTTTGATGCTCCTAACCTCATCTGTGCATTGCTGAACCAATTTCTTTAAAATTTTCCACATCTCCATTCTCTCCATGCTTCAAAACATTCAGAAGACTGCTTTCTTAACCTTGCGCAAGTGCTTCAAAATTTGCAAAATTTTCAATGAAATTTAAATGACCACATACATAGTTTTTAGGTGTTACATCATGAAGTCAGACATACTTCACACTAACAAACAATGAAATCTTAGGTGTATTTTTAAAATCTCACTAAGCCTCAGTTTCCTTAATGAGCTTTATAATATTGTCTCATAGGGTTGTTGTGCCGATTATAAAACAATCTATTGAATATCAGTTAAAGCTTTTGTATTTATAGATGTAGAACACTGAACGGAATGAAAGATAGCCCTTCTCTCTTATCCTGAGAAGCTGGATGGACATTGTGTTATGAGTTCTGCATCTCTTCCCTTGGTAGTTTAGATCTTTGAAGTGAAAAGAGAAATTTTCAAGCACCCCTAACACCCAGGATGTCTCAGCATCTCAGTGGGCAGAAATAGATGAGCATAGAAGTAAGAGATTTTGAGAATCCTTCCTTAGGGTTAGTGTATTAGTCTGTTCTCACACTTCTATAAAGATATTGCCTGAGACTGGGTAATTTATAAACAAAAGAGGTTAAATTGACTCATAGTTCTACATGGTTGGGGAGGCTCTGGAAAATTACAATCATGCTGGAAGGCTAAGGGGAAGCAAAGCACATCTTACATGCAGGCAGGAGAGAGAGAGAAAGCGCAGCAGATACCGCCGCTTATAAAACCATCAGATATCGTGAGAATTCACGCACTACCATAAGAACAGCATGGGGGAAACCACCCCCATGATCCAATCACCTCCCACTAAGTCCCTCCCTTGACACAAGGGGATTACAATTTGAGAAGAGATTTGGGTGGGGACACAGAGTCACACCATATCAGGTGGTGGATGGGACATTTCAGGTCCACGAATAGTGGGAGCAGTACCTGGTTTCCACAAGGAAACCTTCAGAACCTTAAATGGGAAAAGCCACAAAGTACTTTTTCCTTGACAAAGATTCTTATGCCGGTGCTTGACACAGAATATCAGAGTTACTTGTCTTCAAGGAGCCCCGTGAGCTTGGAAATTGAGCAGCAAAGTGAACTCAAGGCCAGCAGACTCATCTCTAGATGTTCTGTTCTGGGACTCAGGTGTGGTCTGAGAAAGGGGAAGAGTTCCCATAAAACACAACCAAGAGAGAATTTTCCATCACCTGAGCGAGTAGGATTGGGGAGTAGATTTAAATTATAGTAAAAAATTGCTTACACCTGAAAGTCATGGAATAAAGTTTCATGCATACTACATAAAACATAATGAAAATAAGGCATTCAGCAGTAGCAGCCATAAATAAATGCCCACTCCATGGACATGATAGTAGCAGAAACATATAAATTCCCACTCCATGTCAGCAATTATTATCATTTTTTTATTATTTATATTTCATTCATGACACATCTTTAACCAATACCGTGCAAGCCACACATGTTCCCCATTGTGGCACCTCTACTCCAGGCAATATGGTACATCTATTCCAGGTAGGCTGTTCCTTTGTAGCTCTCACAGCTATTTACTTACTACCATCTTTGTCCTTGTTTTCACTATCTGCATTCCCAGTGCTAGGCCTTTCTGTCTCTGACATTCTGTTTGTATCCATTCTTTATAGCCACATTCAAAGTAAAGTTCCCCCAAGAAAACTTTCTTGAATAGCCCTTGATAGTCTCCACTGTCCGTAGGGTTTATTTATAGGACACATGGCATCAGCAGATGCTGACCACGCCCACTCATGTCCCTTCACTCTTCACCATTTCTACAGGAAGCTGTGACTCGGCCTGAAGGATTTCTGTGGTCAACGGAACGTGCCCAGCTCATGTGTAGAGCAGGAGGAAGTGTTCCTGCTCCAGAATTCCCCAGAAACAAAGCAACCTTCAAGCAATGACATCTGAAAGTTGAAGGACAGATACTTCAGCTCTGTCAGTATGTTGTATGGGACAACTCAGTCCCTACATAGTCTAAGGGGTCCGGCATGACTCATCTCCTACAGCAATAAATAACCTGCTAATAGACGCATCTGATTGGCATCCTTCCTTTCTCTCCCTCGCATTCCCACATCCCTAAAGGTACTTTCTGGTAGATACTTTCTAGCATCTTCCCACGCACTCTCTCCACCCAAATTCTTGTTTATAGGTCTGCTCGTTGGGGACAGAACAGAAACAACATCACCTCCCACTTTCTTACTTGCTGCCTTAAAAATAATGATTTCCCTTCCCTAATTATTATCTTCCCAACAAGATTATAAGCTCCCCTGGTGCAGAGCATACTGCTGGTCTGTGAGCTATTTGTTGGTCTGTGAGCCATTTGTCACTGCAATGAGATAAGTACATAAATCAAGAGTAAGTGTTTAGAAATTCTTATAGCAATTTTCCATTGCCAGAACATCCAACCATGTGATCAGCGGGCTTACCCAGTGAACAGGCAGGGACCAGTTAGATGAGTCCCATGGTGCATGTTGTCTGCTAGTCACGTGCAGGATAACCATGTAGCAGACATGAAGAGGTGCGAAACTTTATAAAAGGGTCGTTCCCCACAGATAACTTCAAAATCACCGCTCTAAAGCATCTCTTACAGTTTTGGGCACCAACTGACGTGCACAGTAATTTAATTTAACATTTTGTTTTTGTGGACACCTTAGGATAAATATATAGTCAGCTCAGTAGATAGGTTTATTTTTATTTGCCATCGATTCTTACACAGATTTATCCCAGGATGAACCATTTTCATATTTGTCATGATCATGCACCAGGCTTTCCAAGTGTAAGCTTTACATGATGGGAACTAAAACAGAAACTGACAAAATTCTGAAGTGCTAAAAGAATCTGGAAACCCTGACAATTTTCCCCACACCTTCCATTCTCATTTAAACTATTGATACTAAGGTAGTCTTATTCACATTAGTGTTTGATCTCAGGGTAGATATCAAAACAATGCTCCTACCATTTGCCATCCTCCTTCACTACGAAGTCTGAGAAGGATATGAAGCATTTGAAAGCCAATCAGCTTTCACAGTTGTATCTCCAGGGCAAGTGTGAGGACAAATGGAAACAAAGCCAAACAATGAATCACCACATTCATTTTTCAAGTCATATATGGCCTGGCACAGTGGCTCATACCTGTAATTCTAGCACTTTGGGAAGCCAAGATGGGAGCAACACTTGAGGCCAGGAGTTTGAGGCTACAATAAACTGTGATCATGCCATTGTACTCCAGCCTGAGTGACAGTGAGACGCTTTCTCTATTAAAAATAATGATAGGCTGCTCTGTCTATGGAGTAGCCATTCTTTTATTCCTTTACTTTCTTAATAAACTTGCTTTCACTTTGCACTGTGGACTCGCCCTGAATTCTTTCTTGTGTGAGATCCAAGAACACTTTCTTGGAGTTTGGATTGGGACCCCTTTCCTGTAAGGTATTTCTAGCAACCGCAGAAGGGACTACGGTGCAGAAACCCTGACCCAATGGCTACCTTTGGGTAAGCGTTGGTGTCCTATATCTTTATTCTGGTGAACACGGAAGCGACTATAGTGTGGAAACCCCCGACCCAAAGGCTAACTTTGGGTAAGTGGTGGGTTCCAGTAACATCTTTCTCACAAACCACAAAAGGGACAATACTGAGAAGACTCCTCTGACCCAAAGGAAATAGACTGCAGCACTGATTGGATGACTTTGGGTAAGTGGTGGAGTACCCGGGTAAAGAATGAGATTGGGTTAGAGACCCAACTTAGGGGAGTTAGAGTCTCTTCTACCACAGAGTGGGTTAGAGGCCCCTCTTAATAAAAGGCGAGGGGCCCGGCGGTGACTCACACCTGTAATCCCAGCACTTTGGGAGGCCGAGGCAGGCGGATCACGAGGTCAGGAGATCAAGACCATCCTGGCTAACACGGTGAAACCCCGTCTCTACTAAAAACACAAAAAATAGCCAGGCGTGGTGGCGGGCGCCTGTAGCCCCAGCTACTCGGGAGACTGAGGCCGGAGAATGGCGTGAACCCGGGAGGCGGAGCTTGCAGTGAGCTGAGATCCGGCCACTGCACTCCAGCCTGGGCGACAGAGCCAGACTCCGTCTCAAAAAAAAAAAAAAAAAAAAAAAGGCGAGGACGCTTGACGGATCTTGGGTTAGAGGTCCTACATAGGAGGGTTAGGATCCCTTCTAAGATTTAGGGGGTTAGAGGCCCCTCTCAGTAAAGTCCCTCTGGGCTAAGAACAGGTTTGGCATTATGGGATGTCAACTGCTATTCTTTTTGGAGTAATCTGTCTTGTACGCTTTGCTGATGGTTGTGGGTGACGGGGTTAGGCATGTACAGGATCGCGGTACATGGGGAGCTTTTTCCTCCCTAAAAGGGGAAACATGAGAGCTGATGGGACTGCTGGGAAAAAAATCCCTTCACAACAGCAGCCTCAGCCGCCTGAAATTTTCAGTGTCACCGCAATGGCTGGGTCTTTCTCTGGCCTCCCTAGGCATTTCACCTTCCCCACCCTGCCACAGACAATGCTTTTCCCTCTCTCCTTTTCCTTTCTTTTCTCTTAGGGCAACCACCTTGCCCAGAGACCACGTGTTGAAACTCCAAGTCGGAGGTTGGATTAAAGATGAAGGGGCCTATCTGGGGGCAAATTTAGGCCTTGCCAGTTTGATATTGGGTGCTAAGCAGAGTAGCTAATGTCTATGTTTTATCACATGTATTTTGCTCTGGCCAGAACGAAAAAATAATAATATTCCTTATGGTGCGGCTTGGTCCCCAGGGCGATGATGCCGCAAGTCGGTAAGAGGGATCACTAGGGCTGCTCAGGGAAAGAGGACCCAGAAGCCTGGCATGCTGGCAAAAGGATAAGAATTTCTCAGCAGTCAGATTTCTGGCTTCTCTCTCTCTGTGCAAACAGTTGAATGAATGGAAAAAAAAAATCAGTGTGTATCTCCTCTGTAAAGTTTTGATTAATGTGAAAAAGAATTCTAAGGCTAGCCTTAAACTGGTGTATTTTGTGCTATGAATTCATTTTTCCGTGTCGAGGGGTACTTCAGGATAAAAAACGGGCTTAGAACGCTGTGAGCCCACTTTTCAAGATGACCCCAGCAAGCTGGTCAGTAACAAACTTAGCTACAGGTCCCTGGAACAAACAGAAAAACTGAATGAAGTCTCCACATTGTTTTATTCCCATGGGAGCTTCACCTTTTAACCAGGTGGCAGTACTTTCTTTTGGTCTCTGCCTACAGGGAACAAGAATTTTAGGGTTCATGTCATAGTTAGCTCTAAAAATTATATTAAATAGTTAAAAGCCTTTGCAAGCTCAAAATTAACTACTCTGACTCATGCTGGGAAAAGAAGTGGAGACTGCCCCTTGCTATAGCTCACTAGCTAAGGTTTTGCATTTTCAAGGTGGCTGTCCAGGCTCCATTCCCCACCTAGGAAGTAAGTAGTTATTGGCTTAATAACTGCAAGACCTTGTCTAGTCTCTTCTCTGTGGACTGTCTTAAATTTTCCTTTATCTAAGCACCTAGGAGGCGACCTTTGGTGAAGTTCAAAAGCCAGAAATATTGGCCATTTGGCATATTAAATTCTAAAAGGACTTTATTAAAGAGTGTTATGGTTAAAATCAGCTTAATTAAAAGTGGATAAACAAGCTATCGATACATTTTAAAGGCCTTTATGTTTTTCTCTTCTTGGAACTTGCCTTTCTGGAAAAAGGTTTTTTCTTCTCAGTCGACTGAATTATTTTTCTCCATTTTTTTGGTCTTACCACTCTTAATGCACAAATAAGAGGCCCTAAGGTAACTTCTCGTAGCCTGGGAGTCCTTGGGAAAACAGAGGAGGTGCCACAGACCCCGTTTGGGGGAAAAAACAACAACAATGAAACAAGCTGTTTTCTTCATGAAACCCCAGGAATTAAAAGCAGATAGATCCCTCTCAAAATCAAAGGCTCTGTTCTGTTTTGCATTGTGTTATCTGATGGTTTTGAGTTTTGGGGGTATCAGAAATTACTTCACATTATGAGAGAGCTTTTGTGTGTAATAACTGACTAAGGAGGAAATATATTTTAAGGGATGGCTAATAGTAGTTATGAAGGGATACTTAACTCTTTGCATACTTGGATCAGAGAAACATGCTTTTGGCCACCTGGAAGATAAGGAAACATTCCCACCCCCCACTGGGAGACGAGACTCCCATGAGGGATGGCTGATACAAAATGGGCTGATTTGGGTTGCCCTGTATTGAAATGCAGAGTAGAAGCATTGCACTGTCTTCTCCCGTATTATTTCCCTCCTTTTGGGAATTCAGGAACCAGTCTAAAATGGCATCCTTAATTTTGGGGATCTGTCTTTGCCTTCAGCTGCTTATTTGCTGCTTATTTAGCCCTAGAAATGCATGTTTTCCTGGCCCTGTTTTTCCAAGGGCTCCACCCTGAAGTCTATAATCCAATTAAGAAACTGGCAAATGAAAAATCTTACAAGTGCTGAATATTCTGACTGTATATGTGTTGTATGTTTATATATCAAAGAGCTCTCATTAATTGGCTTAGAAAAATAAGCACTTACACCAAATATTTTGTCAGAACAATAGAAACCTTAATGCTTTCTGTTCACATAACTTTAGTAATCTTTTGGAAATAAAGACCGTTTTAATGATTATTGGTAAAATAAAATGTCTTGAAAATGTAGACATTTGGTCTAAATTAAGGTCAGATATCAGATTTGTTAAATGTTTTAAGGTCAAACTGTTTGTTTGACTTTTGAAAATTGTTCAATTTACCTACCTTAAAGCCATTAGATTCTAGATAAGGCCTGGGACATGTGGAGTTAGCCACACCCCCTAGCTATGCTGGAGAGTCAACTGTTATCTGCACTTCTGCTTGGTGTGTCCTAGGCTAGGCTCCACACCTAGTGAATAATTAAAATTTCAAATTTACTAAGGTTTCTACCAAAAATAAAAGTTTCTAAGAGTTAACATTATAACATGTAATTAAAACTAGCAAAGAAACAATTTTGCATGGAAGGTGTGTAAAGAAAGTAAAATGTGTTTTGGTGAAAGATGATAAGAAGTCATGGGAATGTGGACTTTTTTTCTGCCTAGATTAAGG